ATCAGCAACACAGAAGCCATGAGTGACACCAAACTCTCTCTTCAAACAGCTATTTTATCTGAAGAGAATACTCAAACCTGCAGGCACCTTCAGGGTGACTTTCTGAGAGCTGAGTGTAGGAATGAGGATAGCACGAAACAGGGACTGCGCTATCAGGCTGAAGTAGAACTAAATGTTGTTATTGAACATAGCCAAACAAGACTAGGGGTAGGTACAGACAACAAGAACTGGAAGAACTAAAAAATGACTTTCAAAATAGGATGCCACAACAGTTTCCTTCTATTATTTCAAAGGACCAGTCGTTAACATTTTCACTCCTGACATTTTACTGGCAGCACCTAAAGAAGAATAAGAAACAGACTGTTTCACAAACTAAGCAGGTTTTCATCCTCTGTGGGAAGTGTGAGAGTGCTAAGGGAAGTAATATCAGACTCCTGAAATGTAAGGATGGGAATACCAAGCAACTGAAGTGGGCAGCCACACAGATTTATTGCATCATGTACATAATCTTACACGAACTTCAGATCTTACAGGAGTGCTAATGGAAAGAAGAGAAGCAAGTTTCTCAAGGCAATTCTTAAAGCCACTTTAAATCTTCCAGCGAGTGACTGGAATGATGGCTACTCCAAGTAGTAAAAATAAGTGTCTCTAAATCAACTGGACAAGCATTGCAAAGACAAACAGGGCATTTTCTTGGTGGTGGTGAGAATTTTTTAAGTCTTCGGAAAGAACACTGGCTGGAGTCCTTTTATTTGTACTCTCTGGCTAACACAGAACTGAAAAGCAGTAGTGAATTACAATTTCAATCAATTCCTTATGACAGTTCATCAAAACAATCTTTTGCTTGGCAATTATTTAATATGAAGTGAAGAAATATCTAATAGACACTGGCACCACAAAGTTACACTACCATGAATTACTTCCTATTTTCCCAGCACATTTGAAAAATCATTCTTTCGTTCTTCTAATAAAATTTTAAGATTCTTTGTGAAATACAGGAGCTCTATCCTGAGCCTTTTTTTTCCCAGTGCACAATAAAACAAATAGATCGTAAGTGAAATCATAAAAATGCCACATATTTTAAGTGGCTGTTATGATGCAGATGTAAAAGGACAGTTGATTTTTTTAAATCACTGCTCCCGTCTAGTACCTGTATAACAATAGTATCTACATAACAATAGTATCTATATAAACAGAATTAAAAAAAAAAACAAAAACAACTCATTACAACACTCCTATATTTCAGCCTTGATGCTACAGGAAACAAAATTTAATGTTACTGATCTGTTCCAAACACTAAACTGTTCCACTAACAGCCTGTAATGCTAAGCTCACAGATCTGTAACTCAAAGAAATAACATACATGAATACAGTTTACTGAAAGATAACATACCATAACTTCGTACTCAGGTCCCAGCAGGTTTTCCCATTTGGATTTCAGCTCATGTGCTGGAGGGAGTGGGACTCTTCCTAAATATGAAAGTAAATATTAAATTTACAAGCATATTGTACATTCAGAATTATTTTTACTTCTAAGTACTTCAATAAAAATTCAGTGTAAATAAAAGATTAGAGGGAATAATCCCAAAAAGGAAAGTGCATTAAGCTGAGTATCAAACAGTGCAAATCAAAAATGTCTTTCTTAGGAAAACAATGCAAAATGTCAGCTACCGCTAACATGTGATTTATTCAGCTGAGAAGCAGAAGAGGTGATGCTTGCACTGATGAGATGTGAGTTCTGTACCATATAGCACTGTAAATAAATCATTCTTTCAGGCTGCAAAACGAATTTCACATGACTTCATAATTTGTTGCTATAAAAATACTGGCCACTCCAAGGAAGCATCATCTCCCACCAAAATGAATCCCCTTAAGAAGTAAAACACCTGACAAGATATTGCTGTTATCAAGGGGCTGCATCAGCACAATGCACTCACAGACTTTATTTATGCATTTGGCAGGTATAAAGGCTTGTCTAGTTTAATTAGGCCAGTAAGTAACATGAGCTTTAATATAAGCTCCAGTTCTAAACCAGTCTTCCGTGGGAACTTGGCTATCTTGACATTTATATCTTTTCAGCTTTCTTACTTATGCAACCAAGGCAGTATTACATTCATGTAAGACAATTTGACAGAGCTAGACAGCATAAAATGACTGGCTGCCCTGCATTTGACCTCATGCAGAAGCTCAATGCACATATAAAGTTCCAAGCCGAAGCAATGTTTAACTGGTAAGAATCAAGCTCTAAAGCAAATTCCATCTAGCAGCTACAGCAGCAGAAACTGGGGTCTGAATTACCGAAAACTGGTTTTTTTCCCCCTGAATGACTGTAATAGTTTGTCAGATGTCTAGACAAGGCACAGACCACTTAGTATTGCTGATGTGTCCTATTGAAATTTAGAATGTAAATCACAACCTCACATTTTGCACACGAACTAGCAAGTAAAATACCTCAAGGGGGGAATTTTGAAGACACCAAGAGAAGCTCAGAGCCTACCTACTAGCAAAAGCCAACACAAACAGGATGTCAAGCTGCCTCTGCTTTCAACATCTTTGTAGACTGCAAAGATAAAACATGAGCTCTGCAATACAATCCTTATTACATCATTTTATAACTTGGAAGTTTTCCGCTCATTAAAAACTAAGATTTAAGTTAACTTATACAACAACATAACCCATCACTGTATCTCTTCCACTCACTTTCTGTCACTCCAGACAGGCAAATTCTTTCTGATCTGCACTGAGAAACCACACTCCTCAGGGCCTAACTGAGACTTCACATGGGAATACCCAGAGCATCTTTAACCTACAGGCTCAAGGAAGCACAGATATTCAAGGATTCCAGCAATTCAGATAACTATTCTCTGTCACCAAAAAGAAACTCCACCAAGAATAAAAACTTGGGTTTGTAAATGCAGCCCATGGTTCTCTCTGAAATAAATTACCTCCTTTAAAAGAGAGGGAAGACAAATTGTCCTGAAATTTTCAGCCGTGAGTTAAGGGTTTTTTCCTCCATCGAAATTTAACTGAAGTTTCTAAGGACAAGCCATCTTCGTGAGCCATGTTATCAAGCACAGGCTGATCACTATCTTTACTTCCCTGCTGTCGCAAAAACAGAACACCACTGCATTTTTCTACTCCTCCTATTTGCAGAAATACATAGGGACAGAAATTCTTTAGTCTCTTTTTCTGCTGTTACAAAGTTATAGCGTGAACGCACAGGACCTAAGCACCTGCAATCCTCTGTGCAGCCAAATACAGACTTGAAAGTTCACCAGAAGTAATGAATCTTAGGGTCAAGCTCAAAGTTCAGCTCAGTAACTGTAAGCTGTGTTCAGTTGGGTGAATACAGATTTTTTGGTCACTTCCAAAACACATCACCAAAATCTATGAGTTGTTCAGAGCAGGTGCTGATGCATGTCTCCATTTGAAGTTTCCCCCTTTTTTTGAAACACACTTTGGAGTCTTTGCTTGTAACTTCCCCAGAGCTGTGGAAATGTTGGCTGGAGGCATTTGGATTAAATATATTCGATTCCAATGGTATCACCCAATTCACTTAAAATGCTCCTTTTTCCCCAAACAGCTTTTTCCACATGCAGCTAATAGGAATTTTCTTTCTAGTCTCTCATCCAGGTGGATTTCTCACGACTTGAGATACGTACCACATCTTCTATAATGTGCAAGGTCTCAGAAATGAGAACGCTTCCTAGGGACAGCTTTCATTAGCAATGACTTTCAACATATTTAGTCTGTCCTTCTGCCTGCACTTCCATACAGTTTTTCATTTCTAATTAGTAAGCATCAAGAATAAATCACAAGTGTATTGTAAAAATCATCTTTCCTTGTCAAAATTGCCAGCATCTTAAAAAATAGAATGTTTTCTTCTCGCAATTTCCTCCTGGTTTCACAAACTTACTGTACAAGCATGTGACTGTGCTCTAGTACACTTCATTAATGCACTACCTTTATCTGCCCTGCTGCTGTATACTTTTCCCCAGCCATCTTCAAGTGCCTGACTAGCATCATCATATCTTTGGGTTTTGAGTACCGCTGCAAGGCAAAAGAAGGCAGTTCTGCCCAGTCTGCAGTCTTGCAGATGCAGCTGTTAAGTTAATTGCCTCTAGTCTGCTAGCAGAAAGTTTCAGGCCTCGTGCACAGTGCATCCTAAACCATGTTGTCTTTGTAACAGAACTGCTTAAGCATGGTTTTGCCTGGCCAGAATTATTATTTAATACCTCTCCAGGAAACACAATTTAATAAGAATTTCACACAACCGGGCTTAAAGGGAAGTAATACATATTTTATAAAACATACCTTTTACATTAAATTTCTAAAAGCATTTCCAGAGTTTAGTCAGTCTTAAATTAGCAGTATTTACTTTAGCACCATTATAATGAACTGCCCATCACCATGTCCAAAATAAGCACCTGTCTTGGAATTTAAATTCGGCCATTAAATTCTGTTCCAAAGTGAAACCTCATACATCGTATTTCAGTACAAGTAAAATTTGCAACTAGGTATTTCAACTTTTTAACAGAGATACACGCATTTTATAATTGCACAAAGCTTTTGCAGAACCTTGTAACTTAAAGTGGTTTTTCACTATGAAAAACCCCAGTTTAACCAAGCAACGATACTTGCTTACCATTGCATTAAATGCTTCCAATTCCCTACTCAGTTTCAAAGTCATGCCCATTGCATTATCCTGCTGGCCCAAGGAAGACCAGCACTGCTAGATGGTACCAAGGGCAGTATCCAACTGCAAACAAACAATATCTTCAGTGTTTAAATTTTGGTATCTCAAGACACACTATGCATACAAACACATCCTGTATTCTCCAGGGTAAGGGGAGCTTGGATACACAGGAGAATAGAAAAATCTCGTAGTGCACTTCCTACCTGGTGCAGTGGGGAACGCAGCGCAGATATGCCACGCTGCCTCTGCAAGGAATCAGCTTGGGTCCAACTGGCAGCTATGGAGTCCTTGCCAGGCCCAGGTGCATCAGCACCATATGCCACAGAGCTCCAAGGAAGGGGAGTACGACATTTGCACAATGCTAGAATTGAAGGGGAACCACTCATATACACATAACTTGGTTACAAACTCTTTTTGAAACTAAGGGCTTTGGAGCATTTATGGAGAGGCACTGGATCTGCATCAAATCCATCTGTGTCTGCTATGAAAAGGGCTCAATAATACAGTTTGATCCAAGCTGATTACCAGCAGAACAGGGATCACTAAGATATATCTAGATAACACACCTTGAGACTAACAGAGTTTGTTAACTTCAAGCCAGGTAAAAGCAAATTTAGTTCTCAGTATAAACTGATCCTGGCATTGATATACCATATTTGCACAGCACTAGGTATTAGGTAACAAATTGCTCAGAAAGTTCTCTTTGCATCAGGGCAGACATCTGCAGCCTGTGACACAAGATAACCCAATCACAAGTAGTCACGAACTGACTATAGAGATATCGTTCGCTTCAGCAGAAAAAGAAAATACTTTATGCATAGAAAGTCTATGTAGCTCTTTTCTAGCCTCTGTCATAGCAAGTGTAAGTCCTAATGCCTCTTCTGCCCCTAAATACACCCTAGTGCTCAGTCCTTAAGTTATTTGTCCATTGCAAATACAAATCAATATATGCTTTTCCATTCATACAGTTAAAACAATGCTTTGATAACATCACATCTCAGCTACTCGACTACCTCTGTTTTGGCTTCCTATTTCTGGGAACATGCAAAAGTCACAACAAAGGATGGCTGGTTACAAGGCTTGGACAGAAAAGTAAAACAGAATGGAACATAGGAACTGCTACATTTCTCTCGTTTCCAGGTTGTCTTTAATACTGACAGATCTTCCACAATCTAGCAAAATTTTTATTCACTGACAGCCGTAATTTAGAATCCTCTATTACATCTACATATCTTAGAAACTAAAAGGCATAAGGATAATTTATGCTGACTTTAACACAAGCTGTAGAAATTCACCCAGAAGTTCCTGCAGAAGAGCACAGAAATCTGAAGAGGAATTGAAGCACGCCTTCTGGAAAGACCTCCAACCTTGATTCAGATGTCAACTAAAAACCAAAGCAAGCCATGCCTTTGTGATCTGCCCCTATGTCCAATTGCCTTTACTGTTAAAAACACACGCCTAACTTCAACTCCTGTCCAGCTTCCAATTCCAGCTATCAGGTCTTTATGCCTATTACGCCTTCACCAGACCAGAGATTCTCATCTGCCTGCATAGGAATTGTTTTGGGCTTTTCAGGGGGAATGTCTGTGCAGTCCACAACTTACAATTCAGCTAGTAAGCTCAGGACAAGCAAGTCAGAAATTGCGTATCTACAGACTGAACTCTAGTTTCCAACAGTAGCAAGGGAGGAAGCAGTATGCAATAGTACTAGTACCACAAAGTAAATGAGTTGGGTCTGGGAACCAGCAGGCAGTAAGGAGAGGTTCATTGCCAAGTGGGGAATCTCACAGGAGGTGGACATAACTCATGCTAGGCTCCCTACTGCTCTGGCACTCCAGGAGATGTCAGTGACCAGGAACACTATAAGCAGGACAAGCAAACAGAAGCAAGGAAGTTATATGGTTGGTGGCACACAGGCAAGACAGATGTTCATGGAAATGGCATGTCCCATCTGTGTGGAAAATGACGTACAAATGGAGACATATCACAAGATATGATCCTCCGTCCCTGCTGCCGCAGCTAGCTCTGGTCCTTCAGCAAGCCCTACTCAGTCAAAACTCCTGAGGGAGGATGCTGCAGCTCAGGTCACAGGTTGAGCAACTCGGAAGGTGAGTTCTGATGAAGTTACTGCAGTGCCAAAAGAGGAAACTGCAACAAATGGGCATCAGAGAGGAGGTACAGGAAACCAACAGAATATTTTGAAAATACTCTGCAGATGCAGAAGCCTGACCTGCGAGGGCAAGAAGATAGATATGACTGAGGTAACACTGGATCAGGAAGTAAATGTGAACTCCCAAGAGTTGCATCTCCTGATGCTGTTCACCTAGCAATCTCATTCCAGGCCCTGGCAGCAGAGGAGGATGAACAAATCTTTTCTGTCAGGAGAAGATTGCAGGCAGGACACCTCAGGTCATGCGAGTAGGACCAGGGGCTAGAAAAAGGAATCAGTGAGCTGGAGGCATTCAGCTCTATAGAACTTACAAGATCCTTTCCAGAGTACTGAAAGGGGTGCCCCTCCACCATCTATAATCTACAAAAAAACCCAAAACCAAACCACCAAACCAAACCACAGCAATCAAAGGGGGATCACTAATGACTGGAAAAGGGCAAACTTTATGCAAGGAGGAAGATCCAGAGAAGTATAGGCCTGTCAGTCTCATCTTCGGCCCTGGAGAGATCATGAGATACTTCCTCTTGTAATCCATTTCCGAAGACATAAATGATTAGAAGGCAAATTAGGAACAGATAATATAGATTTGCCAAATAACTGACCAATCTGACTGCCAAGATAGCTATGTGGATGAAGGGTGTAACACACCTCAACTTTACCAAAGCTTTTGACATCATTTACATCAGCATTCTCATTTAGAAACTGAAAAAGCATGGGTTTGATGACTGCTAAATAGGCTGAGAACTAGATGGACCACTGTGATCAAAGACAGCATTAACCAATGGCTTGACAGCCAGTTATGAGAGAAGGTCAATAGCTACAGGGACTAATATTATCCAGTATCTTCATTAGTGACCTCCATGATGACACTAAATGCACTCTCATCAAACCTGTGGACAGTGCTACATTTTGGGGATAGGGTGGGGTGGAAGAGTTGATGATCCAGCAGGTAGAGCTTTACTTCAAGAGTGGCCTGAATAAAAGGTATTACAGAGCAAAAGCTAAAGATGGAGTAAGCCATGACAGACCACCAGTATCGAAAATGGATTAAAGACAATTCCCAAGACTCAGAAGAGACACTGCAAGATATCCTATCCACCTGTTTTATGTAGACTCTGCTTCTTGCCATTCTGACGATTATCCTTCTGTTCTTGGTTTTCCTCATTCCTAGTGTCCACACTAGTTTCAGGCCCTACAGCTCTAGATGACACAAAGTTTGGAACAGCAGGCTGCACTGTGAAAAAGATGAAAAAAAAGAAATCATAAGCTGCAAAATATATGAAGTAGTAACACTGCCTCATTAACTATTTTGTATTGGGTTTTGTTTGGTTGGTTTTGGTTTTTTGGCTACATAGGAGTTTTGCACTCAGCGAATCCCTCGTTTCTGTTTCTGTTTCTTTCCATTTCTCCTTAAGTATCTCATTTTCTACAGTGTGTCCTAACAAAATCTAGGATCATGTGGTACCTAGGCCTAATTGTTAAATTAGGTTACTGTAAATTGAGTGAAAAATAACATCAGCTGCTGAAAAAAAACCCCAACCTACCTCTATCTGAAGGTCTTTCTGAAGAAACAGTAGAAGGTTTCCTTCTAAGTAAGGTAAGGCATACAGACTGTCCTGTATTACGCAAGGCCTCTACCACTTCTTGGTTGGTATAATCCTGTATATTAACTCCATCAACCTAAAACAGGAAAGTCCTATCATATAACAGTAATCACATTACATTCTTAGGCCGTGCCATACACTGAAGCAACATCCTCGTTATTTCGTGCAGAAATTATAGGGTTATTCACCCAAGACAGTAATATTTGCAAAACAATCTCATTAAATCAGTTACATTTCACTAATTAGATAATATTTTCAAAATGCATTTTAAAAGGAAACACAACAATAATTTCTTCTGTCTTCATGGAGCAACCACAAAACAGAATTTACTAATCTGATATAAGTATGCACTGATTTCCCCTTACAATTTTTTCACGTACAAAAAACAGCTTGAGGAGCATTGGGGATGAAGCTTCCCAGCAAGAGTAGTCAGCCTAGAACTCTGTTCAGTTCATTATCACTGTTAGTTTTCTCACGGATTTCTAACATGCCCCACACAAGCCTATACATGCAACTGTTCGTATAATCCACTCCGAACAGTCCAATTCTTATATTAATTCAGATGTTTTAATTTACACCCAAAATACTCTGTTCACCTCATTGTTAGATCGTGCATTAACAGGGGCTTCTCTGCAAAGCAGCAGATAAAAGCACAAGGTTGTATCAATTTTTGCTCTCACAAAGGAGAAGCTGACTTTGGAAGGTCTGGCATAGCACACAGTTTAAAAGCAATTTAAAATCACATCTCTATAAATATTATCTCTTAAAACAAAAAAGACTGTAATTCAT